CAATATCCTGGTATTTAAGTGACAAAGGGTAGACACGGATGGACCAGTTGTCTACTGAGTTTTGAACTGTGCACCAGTGGTCCTGGGGATTTAGTTATTAGAAAAATCAATGTTTTGTATGGTTAAAGGCACACTTAAGGACTGAAATACTCAGTGCTGTGAATCTTGGCGTTTTGCATTGCTTGGGTAGCTTTCAGTGCAAGAACAAAGGCTAACTCATGTTCCTGAACAAAAACCAGCCAACGAAACAGTCATTTTATATAAAAATGCAAAGCAAATTGAGTCAGCAGCCATTGCTTATTTGAATTTGACATTAACAGATGAAAAAGAGAAAAAAAGAGAGGACATAATTGGGTTATCGGAGTATTAGAATTCTTCTCCAGATATGCTTCAGTTCTCTTTATACTTCTTCCCTTGGTTGCTTCTCTTCTATCTTTCTTTGGTTTTCGGGATTCACTTCTTTTTTATTTGTGAGTAATGTTAATTGTAATCTGATGTTATAAGCCCATAGTGTTATGTGTTTTTCTACTGATTTAAAAAATGTGTGCTTTAGTTCAAAGAAGCATGCACTTATCTCTTCTTGTTTGAAGCTCCTAGGTGTTGTTGCTTTCTTGCTCAACATGAATTTTGATTGATTGTATGTCTTTGAGACTCTATTCAGTTTCTTGTTTTAACAATTTCAATCACGGTATGAGTTAAGTAATGTTATTTGCTAGTATTTGGGACACTCCCTTATCTTGTATATCATGTTGTTTGTTAATTTAATGAATGTGTGAACAGAATATCCGGAACGAAGTAGCCTCTCTGTTCAATTTTAATTCAACCCGTAACTCATGTTGTACCTGCTTTGATTGTCCCTCTCTAATACTGACTGTTGTGCTGCAAAAGGAATTCCTGTTTGAGAGATGATATACAATATATATTACAGATATTGTGATGCATCAGTTCTCCATCAGTTCTCCGTAGTGGAGAAAACTTTATTACAAATAATCCTCTGACTGAATATACTGTTCCTGTTAGCAATGATAATCAATTGATCATAGGCAATATATAGGGGTTTGAACGTTTTTTTTATGCAGTGACCATGCAGGCACAAAAGGCACCTCCTCCTGATATGGCATGCAAGGATAAGTTCTTAGTTCAATGCACAGTTGTGGCAGAAGAGACTGTTGAGGAGGATATTACGTCAGCCATGGTATATTCTTAGTGGATTATATGATTTCTCAAAGGGCATTCCTCTTACACCATTTCTGACTGCTTTAACTGTAGTTTTCGAAAGATGATGGCAAATATGTTCAAGAAAATAAGATGAGAGTGGTTCTTATCAGTCCACCTGGTTCGTCTATTTTATCACCAATCAATGTAGAACACAGTGATCTTCCAAGTAACATAGATTCACCGCGAGAAGATCAAGTACATGGTAATGAAAATATCAGTTCGCATCAAGAAGTAAGTAATCTTCTTCGGAAACCAGAATTTGTTGACCATGTGGTTTGATATGGTAATAATGCCAACAAGCTAAATATTGGTAAATCTTTTCAGGGAGATGTCAATGGAGTACATAACCACAATGGAAGATACAAAGAAGCATTGACCAGAGATCAAGTAAACCCCCTCAATCAAAATACACAGAAGGAAGTAAGTTATTCATCTAAACCAAAATTTAATGACTGGTATAAATGGAAAAAACATGGAGTAATGCTAAGTGTGTTCAGGAGATGTCAGTGGGGTTTGGCTGTAAAAATGCGGCCAAGTAGCATGATTGTAGAGGCTCTGAACCATATGAAAGATATGGAAATTAAAAGGAGAAAAAATTTCTTGAATTAGTTGTTCAACAACATAGGAAGGCTCCTTGCATAGAAGTTCTAAACAAGTTTAGACTGCATAAAATAAGGAAAGTTATCATATAAGGATTTCTTTTCTATATTATTAGCCTAAACACTGAGAAAAAATTCTAGAACATACTATACTAGCATATAACTAAATAAGTCCTAATTTGCTTGATAAGTTTATACTGATTGTGTTTTCCAGTGTTTTGCTCTATGTTATGTACATTGAGTTAGCTGTTTGGTAATATATTTTATCTATCTGTTGATACACTTGTCCAGCTGGATGAGAATGCAAAGGAGTTTAGAAAGGAAAATGCTAACATGCAAATGGGGGGAAAGCATGCCCAGTTAGAGACGAGGAAGCATGATGAAGAGATGGACTTAGTCAAGGATGTCACAAGCATGAAGTCAAAAATAACTGAACTTGAACGAAAATTAAGTGAGGTTAGAATTTTTTTACCTTCTCTTCTCTTCTAATTTTATTTCAACAGTCTGGAACAACTTTTGTTCTGTCATTTCAAAAACAATATGTAGTCAGTGCCCTTGGTGGCCATCAATCAAGCCAGGGATGAAAGACTTGTACAAAATATGCTGCCACTTCTTTATGTCATAGTATGGTCTAATTCCTTGTGATCTGCATAAATAGCTAGCAGCAAAAGCAGATTACACTGAACTTCTTAACGGTTCCCTGGATTTGTCAGACCTGGACACATCAGATATCAGTCAGCAGTATTATTGACTAATGTCCGCTGCTCAGAATTGTCTCTGGGTAATTTTTTTAAAAAAAAGAACTCTTAAAATGCACTATCAACTATATGTCTATTAGGATTAGGGTCGGTGTTATCAAAAGCATAAAACGCAAAAAAACTTTTAAGGTCCGTCGAGGCTTTAAGAACAAAACACAAAAATGAAGCATAGACTTCAATGAAAAAGGGACATATATATATATATATATATATAGAGTCCAAGACTCATAATTCTAAGCATGAATGACAAGTATATGAAGAAAGAGATTGAAAGAAGACTATGATAAAAGTGAAATATCACAGTGTCGCCTCTTAGTCTCGTTGGCGGAGAAGTATGCCTTAGATCCTTGATAACAAGACTGAAGTGTACATTAAGCGACATGAAGCGCTTAACATGGTTTGAGCTTCAGTTCAGTGCTTAAGCCCGCACCACCTCTTACAACATTGTAGCGGAGTGAAGTGGATCCCAATTTATCAGCAATGAACGAGTATCTTCCGACTTGGATTTGACTTCCGTAATCAGAGTCTCTGTTCAATGTTAGTGCACTTGATCTAGCAATGTTGAATCAATCCTTTTTAGTTGTTACAGCTGTCTGCAAGTACAGAAGGGTGGTTTCCTCCTAGCAGAATCTTGGTAATATGCTGCTCAAATATGTCGTAGCACTGTCTTCTTTTTTGATGTCCCGTACATGATAAGGTTCAGAGTAGTTGCTTGAGGATATTTGGCAAGTACATAGTAAGATCAGACTTAGTGAATTTAATTCAGGCGTCTGTTATTTAACTGTGCGTCTTCTTTATCATATTTTAGTGTGTACTAGTTTTGGCATCTATTGGTCAAAGGTGGTCGCTTGATGAAAATTCAGAGTAGTCTAGTTTGTACCACAGTTTGCTGATTTGTCTAGTCATTTTGATGAACTCGATGCCAAAAGGATAAAAACTGGAAACTAAATCAACCTCGACCTTTCTTGCTGAAGATTTTTCGAGTCTTCTGGAACACTTCATAGAGTTTGATATATCTCTCCCGTGGATCTGAACTTTTGTTCAAACATGAGTCAATTAGGTTTAGTGCCTGTAATTGGTTTGGATAAATGCTCTGTTTCTCACCCTTCCTTACCCTCTTGCAGGCTAAAGACACCATCTCAAAGCTAACAGAGGAGAGGAAATCTACCGCTCAAGAAAGAGAGAGCTTACAAAGAGAACTGGTATTTTCATTGATTCCTATATGGTTTAAACAAGATTTTCTCAATATTATTAATTTAAGATCACGACATCAGTAGAAGTCCTCAAAAGATTGGGATGCTATTAACTAAGTCTATTGGGATAATAATAAGCCAGAGTGTTGTGTGGATGTTGTGGATGTTGTGTTTGTTCTGGGTCCATGTTAGTCTAGCTTTACCTCAAGCAAATTGCGTCCTTGCCTTGATAAGTCGGATCCATTTAAGTCTTACAAAAATGTGCATCTGTGAAAGTGAGGGATGTAGAAATTGTGTTTCAGTCCCTCACCCTAAATTTTACCTAGATGAAGTCTCTATTTCAGTTGCGGTGCTCCTGTGACAGATTTTGTGCTCTATAAAAAGTGTCCTTAATTACCCTTCCTTGTTTCGTGTTCTTTTTCTGGTGTTGTGATATTGCAGGTCATGTTGACAAGTAAGAAAGGCGGAAGAAAAGTGCGGGTTGGATTTCCGCTCCTCTATGTGGTTACTGTAGCCTTTATTAGTATGGTGTTCGGCTACCTTTTGCACTACTGATCGAAGCATTTAATACACTGCTGCGACTGAGAGAGGTTATTATGTCTTATCTTGATAGACAAATTTTCCTTCACAAAGCCCTTCATCTGTTCTAGCTAACGCTGAGGATCAGATATGTTGTTGTATTGACTAGTAGAGTATATCAAGTGTTGTAAATGCCGCTTTTAGATGGAATAAAGTGTAATAATCTCCGTCTACTACCTAAGCCTGGCAGGTAGAGGAGTTGGAGTATCTTTTTGCTGGAAGTGTTAATTATATTGATGGTTTTGTGAGGATGCTCTTTACATTTTTTTATGTTCAATATTTTTTCAATGCATGTGAACAGTAGTTGGCAATTATTGTGAATGCCAAAGAGCGTAAACTTTAGTTTTCTCAAGGAAATATTTTCTTGGTACCTCCGTCTAATATTAGTTATCTCATGGCGGACTAGTCCTTTTATTATGATTTCTGAGAACTAATAAAATGCAAGTATGTTGGTACTCACGATCACTTGAGAGAGCAAATACACTCCTTGGTGAAGAGATACGATCGGAAAGTGATCATTCGAATCGTAACATGAGATAGACGTACATTGTCATTGAAATTTCAAGATCCTCTAATATCCAAGTGTGACGAAACAAACAATGAGATTCTGGTAGGTCATGACGTGTCATTGCGGCAAATTATCAGAAAGAATGGAAGTATCAATCTCATGTCGATACTATGGAAATGAAAATGACTCTATGACAATTATTTCTTTCTCAACTTCATAAAACATTACAAATGGGATATATATAAATACCACACCACGCAAAAAGAAGATGGCAACATTTAAGCAGCCAAAATTTACAATAAGTTTGAATAGAGATATTGCCATTTTCAGGATTAACTTACATACTCGCCGTTGTCAGCCAGAGCTTCACCGTTTCGTAAATCCACCACTGCAAATGAGGGGATTTTGCTGAATTTTATGAAACATTTTATCAGTTTTAGAGTTTGCTAAAGCAATGTAAATGACAGCAGGACCAAATGATCAAGGACCTGGGTGAAGCTGTCAGCAATTGTGTACACAGAATCTTTAGGATTCCCTGGACGTCCCTTGGCGACTTCCTTTTTTACATCAATTTCATTTTTCTAGTGCACATCATGGACCGTGTTCCGTTGGAGAACGAGGAGCAGGAGGAGCAAATCCCCGACCACCAAACATAGGGCGCATGAATGCATCGTCAAACTTGCGCCAGTACCGATGCACTTTATGACTTGGTGCGGTAAGTAGCATCCTCAAACTTGGTGGGTGAGGAAGATCTGGGACATTTAAATCACCTTCAGAGTCCTCTCGACTGCCTAGGAGTGGGGCTGTTAGAGACTTAGGAGTATTTGCACCTGATGACACTGTACTCAATTGCCTCTGTGGTGGCAGCAGGAGACTTATAAGGGGTTTTGTCATTAGACCAAATACCTGGGGGAAAAAAAATAGTTTACATATTCTGGATTTCACGCATGAATGGTTCAACTGACAAAGAATATCAACGCAGAGACAAGAAGTATATACCATTGTGCTGAATAGAACAATGGTTATCGTGCTGGTAATCATTATTGCATTGTCCTGCAGTTGAGTGTGTCCCCCATGAGTGAACTGCATGACCAAATGATCAATGATTCATGGCATAAAAAAATACAAGGATGTGAAAATAAGTGTCATGAAGGGCTGATATTCCTTCAATGTCAGCAGAACTGGCCAAGATTATGATTAGCACGTTTACCTTATTATATGCCAGTGCCATGGACACTGCGCCTCTCATCAAACCTGCCCACCATATTATCACCTACAAAACAAAAGTTTGTACTGATATCCATATGAGACTGGTAATAAGAGAGAATTTGATCAAGCCAGTGCTCACTTGCTGCCTAAAGGTAATTTTTTCTTCCGAGGATTTCTTCATTAAGTTGGATAAGTATGATAATGGAAAAACAAAAGCAGCTCTCCCCAGCAAGATTAGTCCCATCAGTATCGAACTCGCGGAAATTGATAATCCAGGCCTGCAAGAAATAAAAGAACCACCTGATAAAGACTACTGAATGTATGACAACAAATTAAAAGGGAGGAAGGTTCACCATGTAAGAATTAATACTTATCTTTCTCGTACTTCGCACATAAAGTTCTCCTTTCGCAATATCACTAACAATCATTTCAAAATGAAAAAGAAAAAAAGTGATACCTGTCACCAACAAATTTCCACTTCTCGATATCCAAAGCATCCATGCCCACATAGAGGAAGAGGAAAGTCTCTGCAAGAAATGACAAAGTTGCAAAAGTGTGCCTACAGAAACATAGCACAATAACGTTTAGTTGCAATATGTGCACATATGTCAGTTTTCTACCACAAGTGATAGCTGACATGCAGTCATTTATATAAATGATTATTTGCATAAGCTATATAAATGTGTGTCTATTTGTCAAAGCTAATCAGATCAGCTATTATTTTAATTGTTGTAAGGCTTCGGCAGTTATGACCTAAATAACAGGTTGCAGATCGCAGATGAAATAATTTTGACAATAAATGCACAAAACTAGGGTGACCAGGCAGAATAAATTGGAAAACATCATGGCAGAAAAGTAGAAAATTGTACCTTGTAGTGACTCTTGAACTCTCGGTCACATTGTGCCAAGTGTAATGAGACATCACAATACCACAGAAAAATACGGTGAGAATCCCACTCAAATAGAATAGCTGCAAACATGAACAATTACGTCACTAGTATCAGAAACATGCATATTGAATATAAGTGCCAATTTGCTAAAATGAAGATCTTACTTCGGCCAGCATGTATGATAAATAAGCCATGAGCATCATAAGGGCAACCTCACGATCTGTGGAGTGCCTGGAGACCGTAAAAGTAACTTGTCATTACTAGTACTGCAATAAGCAGAGGTACGGAAATAAGAAAAAGAATAGGTCAAGAAGTTTCTCCGTCAAGTTAAAAAGGAACTAAGCAAAGTTTCACTAGATAAGAAAGTGTAATGGAACATGAAAACTTTAATATGAAAAGCTTTTTCATGAACCATGTTTACAGTTCTATCAAATATATTCTGGCTCTCTCTAGCTTCTTAGAAACACAGTCTCAAACAACGGAAAGTCCCTATTAGTTTGCTATAAGTGACAAATAGATACATCTGCAAATGAGGCCAGAAATCTTAAATCTAACTAGAGCAAAATAATCAGGAAAATACATTTCCAACAGACCATAGGTGTAGAACTCGCTATATAAAATAGGCATAACCTTTCAACTATAGTAGGGAATTTAGTTACTGATATAGAGTCAAGCGACATCCCAGAGAAAAGCATCATATCTGAACAGTCAAGCTTGCAAGAATACTACATTTATTAGTTACAAATAATGTTCTTGTGACATTAAGGCAACTTCACTAATTAAGGACTGAATTTGTTGTAATCAAAGCATATCTGCAACTCATTGCAGCAGGAAAACCCGAAATCTATGTTACCATAGACTCCTTAATAGAGGCATTACCTGCCAAAATACAGCTTCTTGATAATGTAAGCACTAAGAAGACCAGTCTGCAGTAAGAAGAAAATGTCAAATGGAGGGGGAAATCCAAACTAGAAGTCAATATCAAAGATTTAATGAATGATGCATCACGGACACATCATTTCCCACACACGCTCACAGAGTGAAGCTTACTCCTGCTCCCAGTAAAGTGCTAGCAAGGAACAGATAGAAGAAGTTGCCAAGGAAACTGAGGGCTATACTGGGATTCAAGCTCGTAAGGTCAACGTTTTGAATAGCATTGAAAAGCACCACCGATGTAGCATCATTTACAACTCCTTCTCCAAATACAAGACTGTAAAGGAGGGGTGTCTCATCCTGATGTAGGACCTGCAGCAGCAAAACTTGAACTTTAGGGCATTATATTGGGTCTAGCATTGCTATATGATGAGGGCACTACTTCTGTACCTGCAATGTGCAGACGGAATCTGTGGCAGCAAATATTGCTCCAATTGCTAACAAGTGGAGAGAGAGAGCAATAAGAGCGGTCAGAGGTAGATACACAAGCAATCAACAACAGAACAAACACAACCATGGTTTCAAAAAATACCAAGATAATCCCCAATATCTAGGAATTCAATGTCCAACTTCTTGAAAGTTTGAATGGCACCTTCACACAACAGAGAGAAAATATCAGAAAACACTAATTAACAAAGGTTGTGAGAAACTAACACATACTACTGCATTGAAATTCAATTCCAAGATCAGGATAAAACAGGGATGATTTCATTACCAAAAAAAAAAGGACATAGTAGCATGTCTGCGCCAGAAACTCTAGGTGAATGTACTAAAATGCTCAAAACTTCAGGTATCAAACACATCTACCCTAGTAATAGAGAAGCTTTGCAACATTGCTTGATGGATAGAAGGTAAGCAAATTCGAGACATCTTGAAATAACCTCCTCCTTCCTTACCATCAGCGAAACATCTGGAATATAATCGTTTGTTCACTATCATTATCAAGGCCATGGACATGAAACATCATGCACGCAAATAGGCAGCTTGATATGTGGAAAAGCATATGAAAAGCAATTAAGCAAAAATTATCTCGAGAAACATACACATTGACTAGTGAACATGTTTTAGCAAGAAGAAAATCCACGAGAAATCAGTGAACTCATTACAGTTTCATCCATCACAATTTCATGACTCATATGGAAGATAACTTTGGGCCGGTGTAATCTCTACTCTTTAAAACAAGTACCTTCAGTAGCTATGATAAAACCACAATAAGCATCAATCTGTTGACTAGGTACCCCAGTTGCAGAATAACTCTCTGGAGGAGGACCTCTCTAACCAATAAAACATATTAGATTTTCCTACAAAAGAATGCTTTCAATAATACCTAATGATATAATGGCACATGAGACCAGGGTACCAATGGCTCCGAACAGCATTATAGTCATGAAGTTCACGAAAAATTGCTTCTTTTTTACCTGGAACCTGTAAAAGAGGAAAGTAACATATGTAATAATCAAATTTTGTGGGATCAATACTAGCAGTCAAAATATGCAATGGACCACAAGAAAGAAAAGTAACAAGAGAAGATAATGATATTTTACCCTGCATTAAATATGATTGGAGGAAGTAGATATATGAAAAAGAGATCTTCACTGAAAACCAAAAGGTGTGAGCTCTTTCCACCACTTACAAGCAAGATAACCACTCCTGTACCCAAACCCTGCAATTATCAAACATACATGTAATGTAAGTGTTAGTAAGCAAATCAAAGAATGTAATATATATAACTAGAAAACTGGAAATTTGAATCAAATTCAAATGCGACACCAGTCTGTAACTTCAATTTTATTTATGTTTACGCGATCTGCATTACATGTAGAATAAAAGGAGTGACACTCACAATTATGAGGGCAGTAATGGACTCATTAACCCAGCGGTTCTCCTCCAAGAGATGACCAATGATAATGCAAGCACAAAGGAGTGCCACAAAGAGGTTGATAGATGCAACAGAAGCATGATCTGAAGTACCCAAAGATCCCAGTTTTGGAAACAGAGAAGCCAGCACAGAAGCCATCACTTTTGCCACTTTGTAATACAACAGTTCACCAACTTTGTTTCAACTTCACCAAGTTTTCATTGCGATTAGCTCCGGTCATGTCAATCTTCTGCATAACACGGAACAAAATATCCCACATAAATCGAAACCTTAGAAGCCAAGCAAAAAGTAACTTTGAACAAAAGGAGCAGAAGAGAATGATTTTCATCAACTAGACTAATGTAATTTAAAATTCTCTATTTTTAATCTCCCAGTTATTCCAATCTACTGAACACCCAAACAGAAAACAAGATCGTTTCTACTACATAAAGATTCTCACCAATGCAAACAAAAAAGCTTCCAGCGCCTTTCACCTATAATTACAAAAAAAAAATGAAAAAACTTGTGTTAAAAACCAACTTAACAAAGAACAAAACATTCACATTTATTACAAGTCCCACAGTACAATTTCCAAAATTTGTCTGATTTTCTAAACAACCAAATATAAAATAAAAATAAAAATCAATTCTTTTCTACTGAATCAAGATTTTCACCCAAAAAAGTTAACTTTTCAATAGTTTTCTACTGTTCGTGTCCAAATTATTCATGGGGTATAATCATTTAAAATTCTAACCCAATAACCTTCAATTACAAAAATTCCCTGCCCTACAATGAGGGGAAAAAGTTAAGTACGTATCATTTTCCATGAAACTAAAGGGTTTTACAAACATTTTCCGAGAAAATTCATCAAAAAACGGAAAAACAGAATTTGAATACTCAGCTTTTTCTATTTTTCGTATATACTCACCAATATAATTGCATTCTGAAAGCGCCGCAAAACAGAGCAGAAAAAATATTACAAATCCTCAAAACTTTCTGAAACCAGAAAAAGAAAAAGAAAAATGGGAAGAGAAAAGTGCAAAAGTAAAGTTCAAATATTTGTCTGCTTCGAGTTTTCGTCGTGAAATTGCTCCCAAAAATGGAGAAGAAGAAAAAAAAAGCAGAGCAGAGAGAGAAAATGATTTTGAGGAGAAGCGCGAAATTTCTAGAAACATAAACAGTAAACTCCGGGAATAACGTGACCTCCTTTTCCTTTTTATTTTTTCTCTCTAATATAGTTTTATTGTATTTTTGTTTCTTGATTACTAATTTATAAAATTGGAAGTAAAATATGTTCGTATGTATCGATACTTATTAAAATAATATTAAATATGATATATTACTAATGTTTATATTAATTAATATATAAAATTTATTATTAAAATTAATATATAATAATAAGTTCTAAAAAAAACATTCTTAATAAATATTTTGAGAAGCAACAATATCTTTAATATATTAAAAAATAATATGAATGATAGATATAATGAATACGTACATTTTTTTTTTTTTAATAATCAAACTGAAGCCTTTCTGTGATGATTGTGAAATGCCTTTAAGTTAGAGTATTTAAGTTTGAAAATGATTTTGATAGCAATATCATTTAACTCTAATAGTGATCGATAATACATTATTCTTTTATATTATTCTTTTTGTGGTGATTGTGAAATATCTTTAAGATAAGATATTTAAATCTGAAAATAACTTTGATGGTAATATCATTTAATAAATATTGCAGTATATTATTTCTTATAATAAAATACACTTTACATTAAATTATTCTCATTGTACTACCCTTCTTGTCTAATTAAGGCTGACCTATAAGTGGAAATAATTTTGATAGTAATATTATTCAACTCTAATAGTGATAAAAACATATCAAATATTCTCTTAGAGGGAGTTTGCACTTAAAAGCAAGCTCCTCTCTTATTATTTTTACACTGAATGAAAACATATAATATTATTTAATTATTATGATTCATAAAATAAATTTATGAACAAATATTAGATCCATATGTATACGGATAACTCATAACTAGTAATGATATTGATAATACACAATATTAGGTACATTTTTTTTTTATATAATATACTTTTATCGAACTACCCTTATTGTGATGATTGTGAAATGTCTTTAAGGCAGGCATTTATGTTGAAAGTAATATCATTTAACTCTAATGGTGACCAATAGTACATTTTTTTTTATATGAAAAAGGTTCGAAATAAATTTGAAATTTGATCGAAATCTTTATAATGATATCAATTTTTGGAAAGGATATTTTATTCATGTACTATTTAATAATGTATTTTTAAAGGTATATATGTGTTCACATGGACACATTACTATTTATAGTTATACTATATTTTTTTATGTCAATGTGGTACATATATACCTTTAAAATACGCTATTAAATAATGTACGAATAAAAGATCCTCCATAAAATTTAGTATTGTAACATTAATTTTGACCATATTTGGAGTATTTTTCCAGACCCTTTATCAAACAACCCTTCTTGTAATGATTGTTGAAATGCCTTTGAGGGAAACATTTTAGTTGAAAATATTTTTGATAGTAGCATAAAAATTTCAATAATAATTTGTTCATTATTGAGTTGGTATAAAAATTAAGAAATTATAAATAATAAGAGTAATTTTTGTAGGAAAATAAATAGTATTTTAATAGTACGGATAAAATAGATATAAAATAACACATTATTTAATAATTTTATAAACTATCACATATTATTAATATATCCTAGTAAAAATGAGTGAAAAAGTATCTTTTATACTTTAATAATGACTAATACTAGGGTTGTTCATGGTTATGGTTAAAAATTTAAATTGAATTTTAATCCGATTGAATCGATTAAAAAATTAATATTTGATTTGATTTGGTTAGGTTTGATTTTTAAATTTAAAAAATCGATACTATTTGGCTTGGTTTTAATTTTACTAAAAATAACTGCAAAAATAATCGAACCATAATAATTTTATTAAATTTTTAAGTAACTTAAATCTTTGACGTACAATTTTCTCAAGCATTATACTTATTTTAGTCCAATTACAATTCTAAGTCCAATTTTTTAAAATTACCTTTCATAAGATAGTCACTCACTTTTTCTTAATTTAATAACTTTGTTAGTGTATTGCTTAATTGAATCAACAATAACTTTTTCCATGGATTATTCATGTACTGATGTTATTTTTATCAAGATATGTATGACTTAAAAAATTCACTCTTTCAAATTAAAAGAACCAAAAAAAATCGAATCAAACTGTCAATAACCAAATCAATGATTATTCTTTCATTTGATTTGATTTAATTTTCCAAATCGAACTACGAACGCCCCTAATTAATACTATAAGAAATAATATATATGGAGCCAAAGTGATTTCACTTATCAGTCATTCCCCTCAGATGTTACTTTAGAGTTTGTCGGAGAAAGTAATATTTTATAAAGTAACTTATATTTTTCAATAAATAAAATAACATTTACGTGTGAGATAAAAATTATTATAATAATAAAGAAAAATCAAAATGAATTCGAACAGGACAAGACCAATTGACAGGTGATATTATGTATTGGATCTAAAATGATGTTAAAGTTTTATAGCATCTTATGTCAAGTCAAATTATTAATTTCTTTTGATTCATTCATATACTTCAAAATAAATTAATTTTTTTATAATTGTTATAAGAATTCCATTTTACTCACTTTATTCTAGTTCCTCTAAAAAAAGAAAATGAAACGTGGAAGATAATCTGTCATACAAAAAAAAAAGGCTACGTATATGATAGCAACTCTGATGAGCAACCGCAACTATATATCTCAATCAATTTTTAATGTTAATTTTGTTTTTTTTTAAATAGTAGGCGTTTGTCCATAATTTTATGAAATTAGAGTGGAAATGAATTTAATATGTTTTGATATAATAATTTTTTTAAAGAGAAGAAAAAAGACTTTATTTAAAATATACGAAGACGGAATTAAAAATATATATATATATTTTTTAAAGAAGTAAATAATTTTCGTGATCAAATGATTCTTTAGTTCTTCTATTTTTATAAATCGGATTTTCTAATTTTGAAGTTGATTTTTTTAGCAATGTACAAAATATATTGTTAAATATTTAAAATAAATTTCACGGGATCTAGTTTTGTTCAAGCAATTAATTCTACCAATAATCAAAGAGAGATTTAATAATGAAAAGGAATATCACTTTTTTAGAATTCTTCCTTTTTTCAAACGAAATGAAAAGAGATAGAATAAAACTAAATTTGGGTCAAATCTCATTATTTGAAATCTTTTGAAAATTAAAATTTTACCCTAAATTTTTATTTTTTACGAAACACCCTCTATAGTAGTTGTTTGTGTTGTATTACATAATTTTTTACGTGAACATCAAAATGGTGATGAAATATTTAGTGAATATTAAATAATGATATGATTGGTGATGAAAATGATGAAAAATTAGCTCAAGTTTACAAAGTCATGCGCTCCATGATGTATGGAATGATACTTGTTACACTCACTTCAAATTACCACATTGTTTTAATGTCATGGACACTATTTATTGTTGTTGTAATGAACAATCAATTGACTTGTAATACAAACTTATAGCTAGTTTTGATAGTTTTTTAAACTTATGGACATGCTGAAATTTCACTCAAATAACATTTGCTAAAAATATTTAAAAAAAATTTATGATCAAACGCGAGCTAAATCTCGAAATGTCTTTCTAAGATATTATCGTTGGTTGTAGGATTGAACACGAAATGTACTTGCTCTTATCTACATACTTTATTGCATATCTGTCTTTTCATCACAAATGTAACAATTTTAATTATCGTGTTGTCTTATCAACTCGATCTGTTATATTTAGCTTATCACTTCGCATAATGAGGGCCCCTACTCGTACATTCTGAAAAATATCCTAATTAAACAAAATAAAATTATAACAAATTAAATGTTTTTTAATTTCATAATAATTTAAAGAATTATTATAATAATGGTATATTCTGCTGACATTGTGACAAAAATGCTTCTTGACGTTTTCCTAAGATAGCTGCCGACATAATTAAACCTAGTAAATGTCAATCTTATTCTCATTATTAGACAACTGTTCTTTTCAAATGTTACTTGAACAATATACAGCTTCAATTCTAAATAATTTCGGACGAATAAAGTTATTTAATATTTATTAATAAAATTAATTAGAATACGTAAAAATTATTAAAAAAAAAAGTAAGAACAAAAGAAGAATACATAAATAACAACTTTCTTGCTTGCAATTATAATCTTGTAGTAGTTGGAATATTCACGTGAAATAATGCATCAAAATTCACGGGCACCAATGCCATTCTTGGCCGTAAATCAATATATTTACTTGTCTTTACATGTAACCTCATACATTGAAACAAATTGAAAAATTATTTAGTGGTAATAATATACTTATCATTATATTATATTTAGTGCTATATGTATGCATCGCAAGTATCTTATTTAAATCTTGATAAATATTTTAGCGATTTTGAGAATAATAACAGAAAATTCAATTAATCATTAAGTATTTTTATGATAATAACTACTGTTGTTAAAAAAAATCTATATAGATGAAAGTATTTTTTAATATAACAATTCAACTAAATTAATTTACTACTCCTTTAAAAGTTATCTTCTATATATGTTCCATTTGTTAACGTAAAAGAGTAAACTTTTGGATGAAATTAATGTTTAACCTTTTCAATTTTGCTTCCTCAATCAGATTCTTGTGAAATTCACAAGAAAACATAAAGTACTTGTGGCTCATTGTTCTCTTCATTTTCATCGATAGAGTATTGTTCATTGAATCTGATTAGATATTTTTGTTCAACTTTTATTTGATCAAGTAATTTATTAATATTATCGTTTGATATTTATCATCTAATTTTATTTTATAGAATAAGAGATTGTTATTTTATGAGATCAAACTCAACGTTTGAATTGATTTTTATTTATCTACTAATAAAATGCAACTCCGAGCTATGTCCGAGTGAAAAGTAATAGTAATTGTTATCTATTGTATTGATTGTATCATTACTATGTATACGATGTCTGTTTTGATTATTATTTAAGTGTATTATATTGTATTGTTAAATTTCGTTATTACGTAACAATTAAAATCTCTATTTTATGAAACAATCAATTT